GACTAAATAAAAAATTCGACATTGAATAACTATGAACCAGTGGCTCTCAACCTTCCTGATGCCGCGACCCTTTAATACAGCTCCTCATGTTGTGACCCAACCATAAAATTATTTTCGTTGCTACTTCATAACTGTAATGTTGCTGCTGTTATGAATCATAATGTAAATATTTGATAGGCAGGATGTATTTTCATTGTTCGCGACCCACAGGTTGAGAACCGCTGGAACGCCTCCCTACCCTGCCCCCCCAACACACACCCCAGCTCATGTCAATGCTCCCCTCTCTCTTGCACCCCTTGAAGCTCCCATCAGCTCCGCTGAGCTGCCATTCTCTGCCAGATGGGTATGAGGAGAGTGTAAGACATTTTCCCCCAAACCAGAAAGAGTGAGGAGAACTCAAATCCAAAACAGGGTGAGGCCAGCAGAGTCAGCACCAGCAGAAGCCAGGAACCCACCGAACTTAGAACCCACCAACTCTGGGGCCTCTGGGACGTAAGTGTCACAAAGAGAAGGCCCCTGGGGCAGTCTTGCAAGTGTCTGCTGGGGTGGCAGTGGGTGGGAGCTGGAACATGGAGCTTCAGGCTGTGCTGTGGGTGTCTCACCCACTGGCTGGTGAGGCTCCGTTCATATCGGGGATTCAGAAATGACAGAATTATGTGGATGGACCACCTCAATGGGGTCCGTCCCTAGATGAGTAAATTTAAATATTTAAAAACTTGTTGCACCATTAAATTTAAGCAAAATCTTACTCTGAAGCAGGGGTGGGGAACATTGGGCCCACGGGCCGCTTAAGGCCCACAAAAGCATTAGGGGTGAGTTAATTAAATGTTTGGCCAAATACAGCAGGCTAATTTTTAACTTGATAATCCTGTATGGCTCGTGAATGATGTTTTAAATATCCAAATGGCCCTTGGCAGGAAAAAGGTTCCCCACCCCTGCTCTAAAGCCTAATGTGTAGAAGATGAACTAGTGGCGGCGGCGGATGAGGACAGGTGGGAGTTGGGAGCTACACCTGTTCTACTCTCCCCTTCCCTCTCCTCGGGGGCCTGCAGCTCAGCGACAGCCACGTAGAGATCTTGTCTGGGCTTCCCTCTCTCCCTCCGCCTTCCGCAGGAGAGGACCAGGGCACGGAGGCCAGGTCCCTTGATGAGGGGCTAGGATGGCCAGGTGGGCCCCACATCACCTGGGATGACTTTGTAAATTAGATGAAAGAGAGGTGAGGCCGGCTGGCAAAGGGGAAGCTCAGAGCCTGCCCGCCCCGGGACCTTTGACCTGTGTGCCATTTAGAAGGCAGCGCCTTCACAATGAAGGACGTCCCGGGAGACCAAAAATACAAAGTTACTAAATATGATTTTTAAAATGCAGGTCTATTTTCTGATTTTGTATAAGTTACAGGGAACTTGGTCTCTCTGTAGAAAAGAAATAACTCTTAGCAAACTTAACTAGTTGAGGTCACATTCGCCCTGATGCTTTTAGCTGAAATTATTTGTTTAGTTCAAATGCCATCTTCTACGCAAATTTCTTTTCACTCATTGCAGCCAAATAAACAGAAGAGGCAGCATGCTTTAAGTGTCTGGATTGCATTTGCTTTGAAAGAACTCAGCCCCTTTAATAAAGAGTATGTGCAATGACTTTTAACTTGGACAAAATGGGATGTGGGGGCCCTAAGTGACCATCTCCACGTCACCTGCCTCCCACCCCCAGCCCCATCGCCAATCCTGTTTACTCTCAGTCCGAAGGCTTCATGAGTCCCTTCCCTCTCCTCCATCCCCGCTCCACGCCGCCATCGCCTCGTCCCTGGCCCATCCTAACGGCTGGTGACCAGCTTTCCCTCCTGCCCCCACGCTCTCTTCTTCACAGAACAACCAGGCCTTCTTAGAAAAGCATAGAACACACGCCGCTCCCCTGCACGAATTCCTACAGCGCCTGCCAACTGCACCTCGAAGACCGGAGCTCCTCGCCAGGCCTACAGTGGCCGCAGGGTCTGAGCCTGCCGGCCCACCCCTGGGACCAGCCCTCCATGCCCCACCTGGGGCCCGAGAACTGCTTGGCGGTGTGGAAATACCACACACACTGGGACTGGAACCAGACTGTCTTCACACCTAGCGTATGAGTGTGTGAATGTGTGAGTGTATGAGTGTATGTGTGTGTGTGTGTGTGTGTCCTGGTGTACTGTCTGTCTCTCCCACAAGAACGTAAGCTCCTGGACAGCAGGAAACATGAGCCACGTTCCCACCGCATTCCCAGCTCCTAGAATAATGCAGAGCTTACACCAGACACCCCATAAATGTTTGTTGAATGAATGAATATCCATTTATAGCATTATAATCCAAGGACTTTCTCAGGGTATTTTAAGGATTGTGATTTTCTTAACATATTTTGCTCAATAACTGAAAATCAAACAAAATTTAACAGATCAAATGTACCTAATTTATATGCAATTTCTAAGACTCCCCCTATTAATAATAATAATCCCCCCAAACAGAGCAGTTACCATAGAAACATAATTATATACTAAGTGATGGTTTAGGGCATGCATTTAGATCTGCACTAAAGAAATCATAGGTACCTCTTAAACAACATAACACATTACTCCAATTTACCATAGATCTTATATCAGACCTGCTTCATGAGTCAACTAGTCATTATTAAAATATACTACTAGAAAATTCTTCCAACTGGACCACACTTACGCTCAAAGAAAACAAGGGAATATAAACACAGCTAAGACATTGTTGGTCATCACCATCTAAAGAAACTACCACATTGCGCAGAAACTATGAATTGCTGCTTGTCTATAATTGATAGGATAAATTTTTCCACTATCACAATTAGTCCCGAACACGTTCATAAAGACAACTCATCTAAAAACTCATAGCTACTTTGTAGGCTAACAAATTCTTTCTAAACT